GGGAATTGCCCTGATTTCCATCTGCGTAATCTCTCCCAGTGTGTGCAGTCATTGGGGCCTTTTGGTCATGGGATGGGCATGTGAACCCAGAGAGAAAAACTCGTTTTTTAAAGCATTTTTTTTTACCGCTTCCACAGTACAAGCTCTAACAGAATTGAGTTTGCCATCTGTGAACCACTGTTGAACCCAGACTACCAACTCCAGGCCTCATTCTCAAGTTGTTCCCCTCCAGAGTCCATCTCTCTGGGTGCTAGAAATAACTGCCATATCTGTAATAATTACTTCATACTAGAAGCCTCACGTTTTCTCAATGGTATTCTTTTTTTTTAATATATTTTTATTTCAGAATGGAAGGGAGAGAGAGAGAGAGAGAGAGAGAGAGAGAGAGAGAGAGAGAGAGAAACATCAATGATGAGTGAGAATCACTGATTGGCGATGCTCTATCCACTGAGCCAAACCAGCCGGGGCCTTATTGTTATTCTTTACTAGTGGCCCGGTGCACGAAATTTGTGCACTGGGGTTGGGATCCCTCAGCCCAGCCTGCCCCCTCTCACAGACTGGGAGCCCTTGGGATGTCCTACTAATGACTTAGGCCTGTCATCTTTGTTGGGTTAATTTGCATACTCACTCCTGATTGGGTGGTGGTCGTTGCAGAGGGACAGTCAATTTGCATCTTTCTCTTTTATTATATAGGATTATACAAAGAGATTTTTTTATTTGGACAACAGAAATTATCTTGGCTCATCAGGTGATTATGTCAAGGGAGAACTGGTTTCTTAACTGAAACTTAATTCTTCAGGAATTCCGAGAAATCCCTTACCTCAAGAAACTGAAGGTCAAAAAGCAGGACCGTCTATTCCCCCCCGAGACCAGTGCCCCAGTGGCAGCAGCACCGCCGCCTTCCACAGCCTCAGCGCCCACTACTGTGAACTCTTCTGCCCCACCAGGTAGAGCTCCAGGGCGGGGGTTGGGGGGCTGAGGTCCTGTTCTTTGGGGGAACAGGCTGTCTCTGTTCACTGTTGCTGGTCCTGTGAGGAAGCCCTGTCTTGCCCTCATCCCCCCAGCAGGAGCAGGGAGGCCAGGCAGATAGCTTTACCTGGAACAGCCTGCCCTGCCCAACTACGACAGCATCTCCGGTCTCGCTGTCCTGCCTCCGGCAGCCTGCGCCCACCAGGCATCCAGAGCTGCCGTGACGCTGGGCTCCCGTGCACGCAGAGGCCTCTGTGCTAGTCAGCGTTAGTGGGAGATGCTCGCACCAGCAGAGAGCAGGAGATCAGTTTGTGTTTTTCTCAGGAGAAAGCCCCACTGCCTTTTTGTACTCAGGGACATGGAGGGCTGGCAGGACTTTTCCCTGCGGCACCTCCTGTCTAGGATGTCGCCAGCACTGCCTCCCCATCGGCCGTGGCGCACCCCGTCCAGGGCTTTGTAGCCGGGCCGAGTGCTTTTCCCTGCAATCGGTGTCTCCAGTCGTTGTGATCGAAGCTTTGCGTTGTCATGAACTTGTCCGATTTTTTAATGGGGTCAGTGACTAAGTATTGCGTAAGAAATTGCAGTTTGGTTGTAATGGGAGGAGAAGAATAAAAGTAATTGGGCAATCACGTGACCTACCTCTCAGTTTCCCATCCTCTGCCGGCTTCCTGTCCCTGGTCCCCGGGCTCCAAGTCCAGCCTCTGTGCCCAGGGATGAGAGCAGGGTCTCAGGCGGCACTTGGCTGGCTGTCCTGCTTTCCTGGTGCCTTTACTTCTGTTTGCGTAGACTTCCCTCGGGAGACGCTGAGGCTGTCCAGGGGCCCTGCAGCCTTTTCCGGCTTTTTCCTGAGAGCTTGCTGCTGGTTTCCTGCCCCTGCGC